GCGGGGGGGGGGGGGGGGCGGCGGCTGCCCCCCCTGCCAGTGGTGCAGGGGGGCAGGGAGGCAGCTTGGCTCCCACAGGGGGTGGGGCCTCAGCAGAAAGGGCAGGGCTGGGGGTTTGCCTACCCCAGTCCTACCTTCACCCATTGCCCCGGTTGGAAGGGACCCCGAGAGGGACTTTAGTTCAAGCATCTGAGGGACCTGGGCCATCCCTGACAGGTGTCCAGCCTGTCCATGGAAACCTCCTTTGGAAGCCTGGTCGTGAGCTTCCCTGCCCTTCAGAGCTATTCTCCCACCATCTAACCTACCCCTCCCTTGCTGGAGCGGGTAACAGGATTCGCCAGCAGGGAGTCTTCAAAACCCAATCACGCCAAACCAACCCAGCATCCTTCTTGGACAATATCACTGGCCTAGTGGCCGGGGAGATGGAGGGACGTAGCAGCCATGACAGATCTCGGTTTTAGTCATACTGCCCCACGACATGTAAACATAGACTCACAGAATCCTAGCTCTCTAAAACGGGAAGGGACCTCACTGAGTCCAGACCCTGCCCGCATGGCAGGACCCAGCACCGTCTAGATCGGGGTTCCCAATCTGGGGTATGCGTACCCTCGGGGTACGAGAAGCTTGTGAAGCGGGTACAGGGAATATTTGGTAAATAACTAGATTATCCTAATTGAAATATTCCAAAAGTAGTCGTGTTCGTGAAAAAGTTGTGGATTCTAGAGTCTAGAATTTATTTCCTTTCCTATTGAATGGGGGGTACGGGAAGGTTGACTAAAAGCCAAGGGGGTACGGGGACCGAAAAAGGATGGGAACCCCTGATCTAGATCATCCTTGACAGGTGTCCAACCTGCTCTTAAATATCTCCAGGGATGGAGATTCCACAACCCCCCCAGGCAACTTATTCCAGTGTTTCACCACCCTGACAGGTAGCAACGTAAACCTCCCTTGCTGCAGTTTAAGCCCATTGCTTCTTGTTCCACCCTCAGAGGCTGGGAAGAACAATTTTTCTCCCTCCTCCTTGTGGCATCCTTTTAGATATGTGAATAGTGCCCTCATGTCCCCTCTTGGTCTTCTCTTTTCTAAACTAAACAAGCCCAATTCGTTCAGCCTTGCCTCACAGCTTGTGTTTTCTAGACCTTCAACCATGGGGACGTGTGTTCAGTGCGGCACCCCAGCCTGGACACAGTTCTCCCGCTGAGACCTCAAATCTGTGCCCAACAGAGCTGGTCAATTTCCTCTCAGAGTGATAGATAAAACCGTGTGAGTTCTCAAAGATCCCTGCGACAGGCCCCAAGATGAGATTGCATGGGTCATAGGTGCCCTGGCATGAATTTCATCCGGCCTTGTAGATTTGAGAATATGTGACTTATCGAAATATTCAACCGCTTCCTTCCCTATTTTAGCTTGAGGTTATTCCCCGGTTCTTCATATTAATAGTGTGAAGACTAAAGCAAAATAGGCCCTAAGCTCCTCGCCCTGATGTGTCATGTGTTCTTAGCAGTCCTGCTCTGCTAAGTAGAGGGCCAGCACTTTCCTTCCGCTTTCTCTGGCTGCTGCTGTATGTAAAGAATCTCTTCTTACGGCCGTTTATGTCACTTACTGTGCTCTTTTTGCTGTCGCAATTTGTCCTCTTCCTGCAGGAGTCCTTGGTGGTTTTCAGGTCGTTCGGGTCCTTCTCATGAAGTTGTAATGGTCACTTCTTCTTCTTCCTGTTTCTTCTTGGCGATAGTTTGCAGCTGTGCCTTTAATAATGTTTCCTTGAGAAACAGCCGGCTCCCCTGAACTGCTTTTTCCCTTAGATTGTCTCCCCTTAAGACCTGGTCTATCAGTGCTCTGAGTTTGTTAGGCTGGATGTTTTAAAGTCCATTGTCCTCATCCAGCTACTCTCGCTCCTTCCTCTCCTTAGAATCGCGCAATGTCTCATTCCAGGACCACTTTTTCTCACCCTGCCTGCTACCTTCGGACTTGCTACCAATCCCCCACGTGCTGGACAGAGTCAAATCTCAAACAGCTGTTCGCCTGGTTCCGTTCTCCACTTCTGAATCAAAACGGTTCCCTGATTCATTCCAAGAACTTACCGGACAGCTTGGCTGTGTCTAGACTGGCCAGTTTTTCTGGAAAATCAGCCGCTTTTCCAGAAAAACTTGACAGCTATCTACACTGGCCACTTGAATTTCCACAAAAGCACTGACTTCCTACTGTAAGAAATCAGTGCTTCTTGCGGAAATATTATACTGCTCCCATTCCGGCAAAAGTCCCTTTTGCGCAAAACTTTTGCACAAAAGGGCCAGTGTAGACAGCTCAGATTTGTTTTGCGCAAAAAAGCCCCGATGGCAAAAATGGCGATCGGGGTTTTTTTGCGCAAAAGCATGTCTAGATTGGCCACGGACGCTTTTCCGCAAAAAGTGCTTTTGCAGAAAAGCATCCTGCCAATCTAGACACTCTTTTCTGAAAATGCTTTTAACAGAAAACATTTCCATTAAAAGCATTTCCGGAAAATCAGGCCAGTCTAGACGTAGCCCTTGTGTTTTACTGAACGACTTTTCCAATGGAGAGCTGGGGAGTTAACAGCCCCCAATACTGCCGGCTCCTGTATTTTGGGGTATTTCTGTTATTTGTTCTAGCAATGCCTGGGGAGTCTATAGTAAACTATTGTAGACCCCCTACATTATCCCTACTTTTGTCCTCATCCAGGGACTGTCCACTGCCCTGCCCCTCACTTCCTTCTAGACTTCAGAACAAGTGTGTACACTCTTGTATCTTGCCTTCCTTTTTACCCTGCCTGTCCTTCCTGAACAAGCTGCACCCCTCTCTAGCCAAAGTCAAGTCACGACATTTATCCCACCAGGGCTGTGTGATGCCATACACGCTGCCTCTTCTGCACACCAGTGTTCCCTGTAAGCTGTGTGCCTGGGTGGCCACCGAGCAGAGATACAATACTGTCCGGCTGGTTAGCACAGCACCTGCACCTACAGCCGGCAGCGTCTCTGCGGGTGGTGCACATCTGCACATGCCTGGGTGCACGTAACAATATTTATTCTGCACATGGATAAAAAATCGAGGGAACATTGCTAGATGCCCATCATCATCACCTTGTGCAGCCTCCATTCTCTCCCCCCCATGCCCTGAAGCCTCCGCTTGGCAGTTTTACACAGCAGTTACTGAGATGTGAATCCAGTCTGGCCTCAGGAGACCCACTCCAGAGTTACACCGGGTCCCAGAGCACAGAAGCTGGCTAATATTTTCCAGCCTGCGGTCAGTCACCTTTTGCTTTGCCTTTCAGGGTTGCTCCCTGGAGAAGCGGAACCTCACAGCAGTTCAGCTGCAGACAGCCCGGCTTCCTTCGGTCTCACACGCACCTGGCCCCCTGCCGCAAAAACATGGCCCCCTGCTGATGAGGCCCCTTATTCCTGGCCGCTGCACTCGGGACAAGTCCCTAGGCCTGCGTGCAGCCTGAAGCCTGCTTGATTCAGGATTTGCGCGCACATCCTGTCCTGCACTCGGGTCTGTGCACGTCATGTCGTGGCTGTGAGCCAGTGGCCGCACCCCACCCCAGAGGTGGCTGCATTTTAGCTGCAGATGAGCACTTCATGTGCCGCACGGCCACGTGGCTTTTAACCAGCTCCCCCCGCACCCTGTGACAGCCACCGTCTAATGCTGTGTAGCATCGCTCCGTGTCTTCTTCGCCCCAAATCAAGGCAGCGGGATTGGGAGCGGGCATGCGGATTAGATGGGCCCATTAGTTAGGGGGCTGATCAGGCAGATACCAGGCCCTGTGTGAGTCATGTGCCCTCTTGGTCTCGTTTTATGTCCTGGGAAAGAGCCGGAGCCTGCGTTAAACCTGATGGACATCAGTTCAGCGCATGAGTGGGGTAAAGAAAAACCCTCTTCTCTCCTGCCCCGCCCTCCGCAGTGGCTCAGGAAACTGAGGGGCAAGCCAGGGAAGCATCAGCCAACAGAGGGTGAGTGCAGCTGGCTGGGACGTGACTTTCCCATGCCGTCTTTTCTGGGACTTTCCCAGCCCCAGTCCGGAGGAAAAGCAAAACCGCGAGTCCCTCTGCAACGGGGAAGAAACAAAACCTGTGTTGGTTCGGGTCTCACGGGGCACCCCCTGCTGGTTCCCCCCCCTCGTGCTCTGTCGGGGTGGGTGGGTTTCTCCCTCCTTTCTTTCGAAGCTGCGATCTGGAAAGGAAAAGCCATTTGGAATCCCAAACCGTGCCCGGTCCCGTGTCTAGGGCGTCCAAACCGTTGAGTCTTTGGCGTCTTGGGGAAAAAAAGATTCTGGTGGAAAAATTCCCAGCCAGCTGCAGTGCAGATGAGCCTTGCAACTAGCCGACGAGGCCAGTCAGTAGCAGTGGGCATGCTCCCTGTAAGCTGAGTGCTTGGGCAGCCACCCCAGAAAAATTCAAATGCCTCCCAGCAGATTAGCAGAGAGCCCACAGCCAGCAGCGTGTGGTCCTCCTGGTGGTGCACATCCACTCATGCCTCAGTGCCCAAGAACAAAATTTATTCCACACACAAATGGGGCGGGGGAATGAGGGGGAACATTGGCTGTGCGGAGCCAGGGGGAGGGATGCTCCTCCAGAGGCCAAGGAGAAAGACAGGCTGTGCTGCAGCAGCACCCGGGAAAGGGAGTGAGGACTGTGCCCCCACAGCCCTGCCTATCTAGGGCCAGCTCCTTACAGAGTTTCCTCGGGGTCACGCAGATCTGAATCCAGCCCTGTCTCAACTGAGGAAAGTGGAGTCACTCTGGATTTACACCAGGGCCCTGCGATCACAATATGGCTCGTGTTTTCCAGTGGGTCAGTGAGTGACGTTTTGTTTTCCTTCTCAGGAACCGTCGGTAGAGGGACTCCATCCCCCCCCGGCCCTGGTGTGGGGACAGAGGCCACAGGTGGGCAGCTCTGATGCTAACTCTGCTTCTGCCGGCCTCACGTACACACCGAGCCCAGCACCCACCACTCTCTGCAGCCTATGGGCAGCCTAAAGATCGACCTCCGCCAGGCGTCCTCCTCACTTCCTGTCCCGGACTCCAGCTGTGCACTGCCCCTCTGCGGCTGTTCGCAGCTGCCCGGCTGCCCCCCAGAGGTGGCTGCATTTCAGTGCCGTGTGTCCTCCAAGCAGCGGTCACTGCTCGCCAAAGGGAGACAGCGGGCAGCACGCTTGCGGGTGGAGGGGGCCGATGGGCCCAGGGCAGCAGGGAGGGGGGTGGGAACCCAGGCGAGTTGCCCCTTTGCTGAGAGGGCAGCCTGGGCTTTCAGGAGCTGATGGGAGCGGGTCCTGGGCCATGTGTGTCATTTGCACCTTCTGTGTCTCTCCAGGCCCCGGAGGGGAGCCAGACGCTCTCGCTGGGCCCTCTGGGGGCACCTCCAGGCCGCAGGACCCCTGGGAAAGGTGGTCAGTGCAGCCATTTATGAAAGTCTCCTTCCCCACCCTGGCTCTACCGTCACCTCCCCAGTGGCTGAAGAAGCTGATGGGCAAGAAGGACAAACAGCTTCAGAAGCGCCCGGCCTGTAAGTGCAGCCACGACACAGTTTTCCTGGCTCCCGACTCTCATTCACTTCCTGTCTTGGCTTCCCGTCCATGCCCTGTCCCTGTGCGGCTGTTAGCCCCCTGCCACGCCCCACCCCAGAGGTGTCTGCATTTCGGTGCTGCGTGGCATCGCGAGGGATTGTCTAAGGCACACGCCCCAAAGCAGGAGAGCAGGAGGTCTGCCATCCCGGCCCCTGCTGGCTCACGGCACAGGCAGGGCGCCAGGCATGCTGGGCCCATGGCTCTGATGGTCCAGACATAAGAAGTCCTTCTTCTGCTCTGCTCGGCGCTGATTAGGCCTCAGTTGGAGGCCTATGTCCATCAGTCCATAGCATCAGTGCCTATGTCCAGTTCTGGGCACCGCATTGCAAGGAAGAGGTGGAGAAATTGGAGAAAGTCCAGAGAAGAGCAACACTAATGGTGAAAGGCCTAGAAAACATGAGCTCGGAGGGAAGGCTGAAAGAATTGGGCTGGTTTAGTCAGGAAAGGAGAAGACTGAGAGGGGACATGAGAGCAGCTCTCAGGGATCTAACAGGGTGTCCCAAGGAGGAGGGAGACAAATTGTTCTCCTTGGCCTTGGAGGCTAGGACAAGAAGCAATGGGCTTAAACTGCAGCAAGGGAGGTTTAGGTTGGACATTAGGAAAAACGTCCTGCCTGTCAGGGTGGTTAAATGCTGGAATAAGTTGCCTGGGGAGGTTGTGGAATCCCCGTCTCTGGAGAGATTTAAGAGCAGGTTGGGATGAGCTAGACGGTGCTGGGTGCTGCCGTCTGCACAGCTGATCGACACCAGCAGGAGGCGCTGGGAGGAAGTGGGAGGAGTTGAGGGGAAGGGACTGGACTCGGTGATCTCTCGAGGTGCCTTCCCATTCTAGTGTGCTAGGACGCTGTGGGCCCCTGGGGCAGGGAGGAATTGGGTGGCTGGGCCTGTTCTTTGATGCTTTTGTCTCTCTCCCTCTGCCTGGACCCGGCTACAATAGGCCCCCCTCCCCCGCCGTACTATAACAATCGGCCTCCTTCCGACGAAGAGGGTGTTTATACCAGCTTGGGACCCGTCACGTTGACGACGAAGGGGACGAAAAAGCCCAAACCCCGTCTCCCGACCCTCCCTCCTGATGCGCTGCAGGGACTCGGTGGAGGGCCAGGTACTTTGGGCAAACAGCCCCTGCATGTTGCTCCCGAGTAGCCAGGCCCATGGGTCTGCCCCAGCCCGGTCCCTGCTCCCCAGAGCCATGTGTCCATGGTGGGCGGGTTCCCGAGGGCCAAACACTGCATCACGGGCAGCTACGCTGCCTCTTCTCCTCGCCTCCCTCTGCCGCCGGCAGGACCCAGCTGGGCACGGGGATCTCCCCCCCCCCTCCTAGCTGGCAGAGACCAGGGCTGAGAGCCAGCCAGTGCCCCCCTGCCCTTCTCCTGGGGCCACAGCCCCCGACTTTCTGATTTCTCCGGGGGTACCCCACCTGCCTCTGCACAGCTGATCGGCACCCAGCAGGAGGCGCTGAGAAGAAGTGGGAGGAGTTGATGGGTGGGGCCCGCCAGTTAGGTCCCCCACACGTATCCTCATCTGCTCCCGCGCCTGCTCCCCACCTCCACCTGCGATGGTCAATCCTGTATAGTCCTTCCTCTCTTCTGATTGGCTGTTTGCCCGTCACTCCCATCCATTCATAGTCTCTCCCCCCCCCCATACACCCCTGGCTGCTGGTCTCATTCTCCCTGCCAACTGGCTGCCCGGTAAAACACCAACCCAAATCCAGTCTCATGCTTCTGGGCCTCAGCTGGTTGCCTGGAGGGGTCAGGAAGGCTTAGAACAGAACAGGCCTCTTAATCTCCCCTCTCATGGACGGTATTCGGCTCCCATTCGCTGCCCTCCTCTGAACAGGGCCGTCCTTACCCACATGCAGAAGATGCAGCTGTGTGGGGTGCCTGAACATTTGGGGCACTGCTGAGTGTTGATGTCCACCCATCTACTTCTTCCTGTCCCTGGGCTGTGGCTCTGCTTCCTTCGGAGAGGATCCGGTTACCAGAGACATCCTTCCTCGGGCTGCCGAATCGGCGCCGCGTCTGAAAATCTTTGGCCCAACCTCCCTCGCTGGGAATCTCTTGCAACCCTTCCATTTTGCTCCAGATTCAGAGCTCAGCCTCTTTCTCTGCCCTCACCTCACCCCCTTTCGAAAACACACCCAAGATGGGCCCAATTTCCCTGCCGGTGGTCAGGGAGGTCTTTCGGGTTTGTGGGGCGCTACGCAAGACTATGGCATGGAAGCCCCTGTGCCCCCTGGCAGCCGGGAGAGACATGATCTTATCTCAGCAAGACACAAATGAAACGGCTTTAAATCAGACGTTAAACTCCGGTCCCGGCGATTCACACGGTCACGTCACAACCTGACAGGCTGGACCTAGGGTGGCAAATACCTGTGAAATGGGTCCATTCCCGCTCGAATGGCTCTGTCACAGGATCGATGTGCTGCTCACGGCTCTGGCTGGCGTTGTCACTTGTAAGATAACTAGATCCTCTGGGGAGAAAGCAGAGCCACAGGCCAGGGGTCGGAAGAGGCAGGTAGGTGGACACAAAGCCCCAGCGGTGCCCCAGACTTTGGGGGCCTTACCCCAGCCGCGTCTTCTGTGTGTGGATCAGGACAGCCCGCAACAGAGGAACATGGGGTCAAACACGCTCCGGTCATTACAGCTTTGGTTCTGGCTTGCAGCCGTACAATCGTCATCCGTACGAACAGAACCACCAGGAGTCAATCTTCTGGGTAAAATGGTCCAGGTCCCACCCCAATTTGAGTCTGAGGGGAGCAAAGGGAGGGAGGAACTAGGCTCTTTCTGTCAGGCCCCAACACCCAGGAGCCGGCAAGTGCGGCAGTGAAATCGCTGCGCCCGGCGGAGGAGCCGTCAGGGACGCCGACTGGTCTCTCTCGCCCACAGGCCCTACACGGCTCCGGAGAGATCTGCTGGATCTCAGTGCCTTGGGGGGAGACCTGGTCTCTGCAGGTGAGTCCAGAATCGCCCAGAGGGATGGAAGATGCAGCCCTGATACTGGGGGAGGAGGGTCCACTCCAGATTTACACCTGAGGTCAGACTTTGGCGTAATGTTTTCAGTGGTTTGGCCCCTCCCCTCTGCTTTGCATTGCAGGATCTCTGGGCGGAGAGGCAGAATCCACCCCCAGTTCTGCTGCAGGAGCAGCCGAGGCTGAAGGTAGGTGGCGCCGAGCGTGGTAGCGTTCGCACCGGCCCACGACAGCCGCGGATCCTCTGTCCTCCTGTGCCCATGGGGCACTTTATTCCTGGTCCCATCATTCTCCACTAGCAGCTTGAGTCCAGTAGGATCCGGATTCTCTCTCTTTGCCTGTCCCTAATGTCACTGGGCAGCTGCTGCGCCCCACCCCAGAAGCAGCTGCAATTCCACGCTCAGGGGTGCAGCGGTGGCACCCCAGGGGTGGCTGCATTTCCGCACTGGCTATGCTATGTCTGGGCAGTGCTGCTGGGAGGCCGTTACAGCCACAGTGTCCCGCCCCAGAGGTGGCTGCAGGTGTGTCCCTGGAATGCAGCTGGGGATGGAACGAGCCGGGGAAAGAGATGAGACTCACAGAAGATGAGGGTTGGAAGAGAACTTGGGAGGTCAGCCAGTCCCAGCCCCCTGCTCCAAGCAGGACCAACCCCAACTCATCAGAATGTTCTTGACATAACTGATCGTTCATTCCCTCCCCAGAGATCATCTGCCAACAGGCCCTGCTTCTCTCCGCCGGGGCTGCAGCTGGGGCTGCCGGTGAGTGAGGCTGGAATCGGGCAGAGACACATCAAATGTCCCCTTGTAGCTCTGACCATCCTCTGATCACAGCCCAGCTGGGGCGGGAAGTGGGGTGCAGCCAGGCTTCTGTGGTTCGTTACAGATAGCAAAGCCGAGGACTGAGCAGGGGGCAGAGTTAAGGGTATCAGATTTAATCTCCACTGGGTGCAGGCGCTCTCTGGGCTTCCCCTTCCCTCCACCCAGGCCACGTCCTTCCCCCTCTGCTCCCCGTGATGCCCTGACACCCCTGCCTGACCCCAGCTTTCCCCACCACACCCTCTCCCTCAAAACAGCCCATCCCACGGGCGTCGTGAGCCCAGCGCTCCTTGCACAGCTGCGGTGACAGCCTTGGGTTAACGCACAGACCAGGCCCATCCTGGGGGGAGTTTGCCGTTGGAATGGCCCAGGTTGCATTGCACTGCATGGGGCCGGGGCTGCTTGTCCAGCACTGTGAGAACGTGGGGTGTGAAAGGGCCTTTCCCCCTCTCTGCTGCAGGAGAGACCAGCCAGAGTGCGGAGCCCAGCCAGGACCCCTGGGGACAGGACAAGTGTGACTTGTGTCCCCCAGAGGAGGTAAAGGATTGTGGGATACCTCAGATCCTTCTCTGCCTAGATCCCTGTCTGTCTGTCTGTCCATCAGCTGTCCAGGTTCCTTCCCCCCGGTGGGGCTGAGTTAAGGGTGTTTCTGTTCTAGGATCCTGCAGAAGAAATCCAACCGGAGACCTTTCAGGGCCCAGATGGGAATCAGATGTACAGGTGAGCACAAGGGGTGAGTGAATCAGGAGTCTTGGGAAGGGGGGGGAGTAGGGGATCGGAGCTGAGGAATCAGGACTCCTGGGGTCTCTCCCCCGCACGGGGAGGGAAGCAGGAGGCTGGGGAGTGGGAGCAGAGGAGCTGTGGCTGGGGAAATCTGGGTTCTCTTCTCAACTTTGCCACTTTCTCACCTGGTGACTTTGGACAAGTCATTTCTCATCTGCGTGCCTCAGTTTCCTCATCTATTAAACGGGGAAGACTATTCCCCTTTGTAACAAGGAGGTTGTAGAGGAGCAGAATGAATCCACTCGATTATTCTGACTCGCCTTTGTTCCTCAAAGGGATGGGGTCTGAGAAAGGCCACGTTTTCTCTCAGTCACCCAGCTGCTGTTATTGGTTACAGAGTAACCCTGATATCAAAGCCCAGGGCTGAACTAGGGGCAGAGTTAAGGGGATAAATGTGAGGGCCCTTGGGGCCAGTTCAGCTAGGACACGGCCGTTTAACCCTTTTCTCCCCGCACCGTGCAGGGTTCAGCTCCCCAAGGCAGGCTCTTTCCGTTGCTCTGAAACCGAACTGGGGTTCGAGGTGAGGGCCGCCGTGACCGTCCTGTACAGATACGACTCCTGGGATTGGCATTTGGGCGCCTCGGAGAAGCAGCAGTGGATGGTGGCCGGGCCGCTGTTCAACATCCAGGTGGACTCAGCCGGGGCCGTGGCTGCGGTGCACCTCCCGCACTTCCTGTGCCTCGCGGGTATGCAGGAAAATAATCCCGGTAGCAAGAACTGCACGTGGCAATGGCAAGCCCCAGGCCCTCCCCAGAACGGTGACCTAGCATCCCAGCCAATCGCCTGCCACGTTACAGCAACCACCCTCTCCTGAGCCGTCCCTGGCAACAGCCGGAGCTGCAGCCCTCCGACCGAGCCGGGTCCTAGCTCCACTGCAGCCTGGGACAGAGCACTAGTGGCCAAACTTCCCCTGATCTTCCTCGTCCTGCCCCCAGACTCTGTGCCTCTCCCAGAGCCAGGGCCCAGGAGTCCTGGCTCCCCTCTGCCCCCACTCCCTCCCTCCCCAACTACGCCTGTGTGCTTTATCCTCCACCCACAGGGGGAGAGGCCGATGGCTCCCGGCTGCGAATCGCCCACTTTGTTGACGAGGGGGTGGCCCTGGTGGAGCCCACGGGGGTGCGGCTGTTCCACGCCACGCTGCAGAACCCCAGCTTCTCCCCCCTGGGCGTGCTCTGGAGGAAGATCCAGTCTAAATGCCAGGCCAAAGTCCATTCCCTGGCACTGCTCTACCGGGCGCTGAGGGCCGCCGACACCACCCTGCACCTCTACCTGATCCCCAATGACTGCTCCCTGAGACAGGTAACCGGGCACGGAGGGCAGGCCCCCGGGGGAGCCAGGGCGGGAGCACAGATCACAGGCACTGCCCAGGAACTCCATCGTGGCAGCCGCCGCGCAGACACATCACAGGAGACAGTCTCAGGCAGTAAACGATTTAAATAGACCAGTTATGGGCTTCGACTCACCGGTGCGGCGCCTCCTGCTGGTCTCTCTGGGAATTAGCTCTTCCAGCCCTAGAGCGCCCCCTGTTGACCGGTGTCTCACCCTCAGTTATCAGCCTTCTGAGTTCTACAAGCCCCACACCCCCCCCAGCCCATAGCGCCCTTCCCTCACCTACTGCCAGGGGCAGTGCCCTGCAATCCAGGGCCTCCCCCAGGGAGCCCCAAGCCCCTGTACCCATCTTGTCTTAGTGACCCACAGCCAGTCACCATTTAGCCTCTGCCTCAGGGGCAAACTGAAGTCTAGCGTCCTGGGTCCAGCTGTGAGGGCAGGGGTCAGGACTCGACCTCTCGAGGTCCTTGCCAGTTCCGGTGTTCTAGGACCGTGTTTCTCAACCAGCGGGTACTCGAGACACCCCTGGGGGTACCTCAACACAACTGAATTTGGAGAAAACTGAACTTTTGTATTAAGTTTTGCAGCACTCCTCATTGTTAAGAGGGGGTGGGTATGGACCTGCTGCCTCCCCAGCACCCTCAGGCCTTGTCTCAGGCCCTGCAGCCCGGGAGCAGGGTCAGGCCAGAGCTGACCAGCTCTGTTCTACATCAGGCACCCTCTGTAGCTTCCCTGGCAGGTCCCTCCCACTTCACAGCTGGAGCAAGAATGAACTCCCCTCAGCACTTGCAGCCTTTTATAGAGCCCAGCCCGGCCCTGATTGGCTGACTGCTCCCCGCCTTAATTGGCCAGGTTGTGCAAACCACTGGCTTGTCTGTAACCCTCTCCCTGCTGGAGTGAGCACGATCTGAACCCAAGGGGGGCACTAGGCTGCCCACTTCTAAAAGCCCCTTCCCCAATTTTGCAGGAGGGGTGACTGGGCCCAGGGCTCAGCTAATTTTGAGGGACAAATGATAAAAAAAAAAGCAGGATCAAGGGGTGCAATCAAAAGTTCAAAACAAGGGCCCCGGATGAGACCACCGAGAGACCCTCAGACAGCCCCCCCTGCTCCTGCTGGAGTGAGCTGCCCCACCACTACACGCCCAATAGAGCATTATTCTTCCCATTTCACAGATGACAAACTGAGGCTGGCTCTGCTTGTGCCCTACAGGCCATCAATGACCACGAGTCCAAATGCCCCTCTAGGCGTGTGCACAAACCTGCCAGGACCAAGCCCTTGAAATTTGGCTCTTGTTGTGTGGTGTCCAGCTCCTCCCTGCTGGAGGTGATACCTGAGGTGAGTGACAGGCTTAGAAACACTGGCCTGGCCAGTCCTTACTCTGTTCTGCTCCCAGGGCAGCACTAGGGGGCGCTGTGCGACAGGGAGTGCAGTGGGGCTGCACTAGGGGATGCTTCAGGTCACAATCCGTTTTTTTAGTCCAGTACCCCAGGGCAGCACTAGGGGGCAGTGTGCTGCAGGGAGCAGGCAGGGCAGGGGCCCAGCAGGGGGCACTGTGCTGTAGGGGGCAGGCAGGGGCCCAGCAGGGGGCGCTGTGCTGCAGGGAGCAGGCAGGGGCCCAGCAGGAGGCGCTCTCCCCTTGCAATCAGTACCGATCCAACAGGGTCATTCCTAATGGATCATCTTCCCTTCCCACCAGGAGCTGGAGTTCTGGTATCTGGACCCCAAGCTGGAGCAGCCCTACCTGGAGATCTACACCCAGGACATGCAGCAGGGGCTGCAGCTCAGCCTGCTGGAGAAGGTGGAAGGGGAACCCATCTGGAAGGCCTCGGTGAGAGCAGGTAGGCTCAGCCCAGCAGGAGCTGGGGACAGAGGCGGGGGGGGAAGGGTGCACGTAGCGGGCGCCTGGGGATGGGTGGATGGATAGATATGGAAATGGTGTCTGTGGAAACGGAGGGATGGAGAGGGCCGTGTGGGATGGGAGGTGGTGGATGGATGGAACGGCCCGTATGCGGATGAGTAGATGAGTGTGTAGATGGGTGTGCAGGAGAATGGACAGCTGGAGGGAGAGCTAGAACGTTGTCTGTGGAGGTTGGATGGACAGGTGGAAGGCTGTGCGTGGATGGACGCGGATTGGGAGGGGAGAGGGGAGGTAGCTGTGTGGAGAGGGGAAGGATCATTGTGTGTGGAGGGGGAAGGATCATTGTGTGGAGAGGGGGAAGGATCATTGTGTGTGGAGGATGGCTGGGCAGGTGTGTAGATGGGCCAGCAGCCAACGAAATGGACCATTCGATTAGCGAGATTAGCCAGAGCAGCGTAGGGACCCGGGGCTCCAGCTAGCTAAATAAACGGGCGCACTGGGGCCCAGTGCTGCCGGCTGTACTGGGCAGTACAGGGGTGGCAGTAAATACAGAGGACAACGTGACCGCTTTAGCCAACCAGATCACACAGGCCCCAGGATGACGTACCTGGAGCTGCCACCTTAACCCGGCCCCTTGGGACTCAGCCCCCCGACTCCTCTTCCCTTCTCTCTTCCAGAAGACGTGATGCCCCGTGTTTCATCTGCCCACACGCAGCCAGGTGAGTGGGGTCCCGACCCGCAGCCCGGCTCTCTGATCCCAGCAGGCACAAAACCCTCGGGAAAGCCCAGGCGACTGTGTGTGACCATTTAGTGTGCAGCATGGTTCATCCTCCCAGGTCGACTCCTCTTGACACCTGGGAGCCTGGGGGCTCGCCCCACTGGAAAGCCATGAGGCTGCTATGGCTCATGAGCAGAGCTGGCCAAAGAACGGTTGTTTGCTTTGGCAGCTCCAAAAACCAGGTGGGACAGAGGTTGGAATTCATAGCGGGTAGCATTCAATGTTTCAGGGGTCCTGGTAGTTAGATTTCGCTTTCAGACCCTTCTAGTGAAAGCAAAGAAAAAAAAACAGGCTAGATTCCCAAACTATGGGCAGCGTGGCCTAGTGGTTAGAGCACTCACCTGGGAGGGGGAAGTCTTGGTTAAAATCCATGCTCTAGAGGAAGAATTTGAAGCTGTCCCGCTGTGTATAAAATATCCGAAAAGCCATTGGGCCGAAGAGAGATCACGAGAGAGACTCAGTAACAGTGTTTGGGCCGGGTACCTGCCAGATCAATTTTAGTCCCTGTTCTTTGGCCTGCCCCACCCCAGACACAGCTGCATTTCAGCACTTCACGAGTGATCCCTGCCCACTGCTGTTGCTAAACAGCTGCCATGTCCCACCCCAGCGGCAGCTGCATTTCACTGCGAAGTGAGAAGCCCCGTTGTAGTACAGCTGCTGTGCTGCACCCCAGAGGTGGCTGCCTTTCCGTGGTGGGGGAGCAATCTGTACGAGCGACACGGGAAGCTGTCCGTCTTGTACAAAGGTGGGG